CCATTACTGTAAATCAGTGAATATTCATTGTTTTCAGTAATAAACCACTGAGTGATTTTTAGAGAGTAACCCTTCAGGGTACTTAAGCCCCTCCACCACGACAAGGTAGTACCCGAGGAGGGGATTATCAACAAGAAACTGTGCAATTACATATGTGTATATATGGAAAAATGAATATTGAATGAACATAAATTAAAGTTGCTATTTAATGCACGACGTGAGAGAGATTCATCCGATCGAAAGATTAATTCACACCCTCGATCTTGGGACAAAATCAATTTATCAATAATGCCTCATAAATTAATAATCTGAGATGAGCCATTCTTATCTTGTTAGAAGCGCTGAAATCTTAGCTTTCCAACGAGACAAAGATCATCTTGCTACGATTTTTCTGTGCGAAGCTATTGACGATTATATCGGCTCGCAATCTCGATCTCGGAAGACAATCAATTTTATTTTCAGAAATATTAAACGATTCCTCATAAACTAATAATCCGAGATAAGCCATTCTTATCTCGTTAGAAGCGCTGAAATCTTAGCTTTCCAACGAGACCAGGATCATCTTCCTACGATTTTTCTGTGCCAAGTTATTGACGATTATATCGACTCGCGATCGCGTAATCCTGAGGTAGAAGCAGCAGACGACGCGTATATGCGGCGTCTCCCGTGGCGTCTCGCGCGGCGGTGTTACTACCGAACCCCTGGGCCTCGTATGTTTTGATGCCAGTTTTTTGGAGACGTAGTAAGCTCGCGTAATACTTGCGTAATACTCGCGCGGCCTTGTCTAATGAATGGGTGCGCGCGCGCCCGATTTTTAAAACGCTATAACTCGGCGAAAAATCGACGTAGCGACATGAAACAAAAACCAATCTTCTTCGTTTCGCATCCCGCAGATGTCTAAGTTGAATATGTATGCCCTTATCATAAAACTTACACACGACAATGGAATAAAAAGTAAAATTCTGCAATATGCATAAATTATACATATAACTGCTAAATATAAAAATTGGCTGACAAACTATATTAGACTGTATAGCAAGATTGTCCAATAAAATTATAATATTGAACATAGAATAAAGGCTAATGTAACGCCAATGTTACGTATCAATAATTGCACGGTATTGCATTTACATTATTTCCCAATACTACGCCAATACTTTGTGCCATCCGGGCTTTATCGACACTTTATATTATAATTCTACTACAGATTTAATATTTTTATTTTCATTGCAAGAAAGTAACCGCAAAGTAACGATTCGTTACTTTTTGAGTAACTAACGCGTTACTTTTCAAAATTAGTTACTTGTAACTGTAACTAGTTACATTTTTAGCGAAAAAACTGTAACTGTAACTAGATACTTTTATAAAGTAACTTCCCCAACCCTGTTAATTTCTGCAATTATATAAAGTTATATAATTGAAGAATTTACCTTTTCTATAAACCATTTTACAATAGATCTATATTGAAAAAATGGAAATTATGTACAAAAAATTCCAAAAATCTTATCACAAAAACATAATCTCTAGTTTTTAAAACTATCTGTTAAACCTATTTGAAAATGTATTTATGAGGCTCACAATTACGAGTTTTAAATAAAATAAGAGATAGGAATACGAATCAAAATAGTAACTTTGCTAGCAAAAAGTTGATAGCCAAAACATCTTGATAGATCATCTACTAATGCACCTAGACTAATCATATTTTAAAAACTATACGCCACTTGCGCACAAGTCAACACACGTGGGACTGTATATTCGCGTAAAATTAAGTGGACATACTTGTGTCACATTCGTATGCAGCAAACTGCAAATGCGATTGGATCGAGCGCATATCGCAAAGTGGTTCGACAGTTCGCGATAATATTTATATAGATCTCAACATATCTCCCAAGAAATCGTTTTCCCCCTCTGTTTCAGTCGTGGTGATGTGCGCTAATTCAACGACCATCCGGGAACTATTGCTGGCTGCCGAGGAGCTCGGGATGGTGGACTCGGGGGAATACGTCTTCTTCTCCATAGAGCTCTCCCCCAGGTGAGGCCAAGTGAACTCGCAATTTTACCACTAAGTAATTGCGTGTGTTATTCGTTGTGGCGTGAATAGCGCGTTATTACGGGCGTTTCATACAGAATGAAAAGTACACTGATAAATATACGCGCGGCCACATAAATGTAACGTACCATGAACATTTAAACAGGACATCAGAATAAGATAATCCTGGCGTGTTTTAAAAAGAGCGTAAAGTAGAGATAATTTCGAGGAAAAAGTGGTACTGGAACACAGAACTATCTTTGCGTGTAACACGTTTTTAATCTTTCTCTTTCCGAGATGCAAGATTGCTCGTCTGAAATGTTCTATGTATAAATATTAAAATTTCGTACATGGGAAAAAATGTAGCCGCCATAGCTAAAAACTGCATGTGGTAAACTAAATTTCAGTTGTAAAATATGGACAGCTAATGTTTAGTTGTAATAGCTAATATTTTGCTACTGCGTCTATTTTATTAGGTGCGACAGCAGACCGTTTGCTGTGGTTTAGAAATTTATAGTTAACGCAGTAAAATATTTTTAGCAAATCATGATATCTACGGTAGCGAAACTTTTTTTTTCAGTTTATACTACGCTGTTTAATGGCGCAGTTGCGAAATGTTATTTGAGATATATCTTGCGCTGTAAATCAATTTACAACGCACGAAATCTGCAGGACGCAGGTTGCATGTCAAAAAACTGGGGCATAAACAGGTGCTTGTATAACGGCGCGTGTCTCGGACACCAAAGCCGTTTTATAATTGAAACGAATGTGGGAGTTGTACCCGGTACCTACGACTTGGTCCCATATAGAAGGAAAATTGGCATAAAATACGTCTCGCCTGTCTTCAGTGCTCACGGAAGGACGAGGAGCAAATAAAAAGAGATTAAAATGGGATCTGACGACGTGGAACGTGTCTCCTCAGATCGAAGAATATACGCTCTCGTTCCACGTAGGGGAAAAAATTATTCTTTACTCACGCAAACTAAGAATTTAAGAAATATAACTTCTCTCTGTAGAAATGTATGTAAATATTTTCCGTTGTTAATGAGATATCATCGGTATGATTATATCGCTATATTTCAATGTTAATCATTCTGACTAAATAACTAGAAGCAATTTCCACCAGGTTAACTGGTACCTGGATATGCTAATATTAGTTTAGTTACCTAACGTAACGCTAGGATGAAACAATTGCATTTACTTCGTTCGTTTCGCTTACAAGGAGCTATTTTATACTATCAAGGATCAGATTTTAGAGTTCAACCTAATTTATCCCTTGACATATCGTCCACGCGGTCGTTTCGCGTGGGCTCGCGAGGCAGTTTGCTCGCTTAGATAAACTTGCGTTTATGTACCTATTATGTAGGTATACGATTGAGCACTAATACCGTCCGATGCACTCGCATTAAATAAAGAAACTGCCTGACATGCGACTTACGGATTCGATCCGTCCTTTCGCAGGCTAAAGCTATATATACCGTTAACTTGGTGAAAAGACGTTTCTAGAATGTTAGAGGGAAGTTCGACCGATCGTGTGAGCGTGTCGGGTGGTGTTAAATCTCCCGTTTGTACAAAGTACGAGTATATATCATACAATCGCGCTGTTTAACGAGGCCTTGAAACGCTCCGCCCCGGGAAATTGCTAATCCCGGATCGTCGTAAACGTAACGTAGTACGTGATTCTTCGCGATCGTAAGTTCCTTACGATCACATTCTCGGATGTTATTTTGTTTTCTTGATGATTTTATTCGGGTGATGGTCTTGTATCTGCAGACGAAATCAAAGCGGATCTTGAATTTTAGCGGTGGTACAGATGGCTCGTTATGATCCGGTTACATCATGGGGAGAATTATCTGTCTCTGGGAAAACAAAACTATTTGTACTCGATACCTATCTCGTTGCATTTCCGCTTCGTTCTCTGTTTCCCAATGGCTCTTGTTAATAAAGGATATCGCGCGATTTCGGGTCGAGTGGAATTCAATCCGTCGTATCGGAAACCTCAAACCGCGACCCTTCGTTTAGATTATAGTCGAGTGAGACTAGACGCAGCTGCTGATCTATGCAAACTGTGTAAAACTATTAAATGTACAAATTTCAACATTGTGCCAGTAATAGAGGCATAATGGAACATTTAACGGAAGGAAAAATAGAGTAAGCGAAATTTTTCGCGCGAATTTAGCGAAATCGCGATCTCGTAAATTTTTTTCCAGGACGAGAAACGATGAACATTCGATTTAACGAGATTCATGCGAGATTTAAAACGAGCACGGGACGAAAAGCAACCTGACCATCTCGTGGTCAGAGCAGCACGATTGGCGTTGACTTTAACAGTAATTGAAAGTTTCATTCGAATCACCAGTTTTTCCGGTTAGAATTTATCCGTGATGGCCTTCCTACAACAGCCCGTCGCAGATGACAAAAAAATATCACAGCTTTTAAATTCACATTTATTAGAGAACGTACGCGGCAATTCTTTTCTGGATAATCGAGCGCTCTCCAATATTCCTATCGTAGATTAGAAAGTTGAGAAATTTTTAGAATGCCAAGCGGAGAAAACTTCCCGGGACAAGCGCGACTTGAGATTGCTTTCGAACTATGCCGATTTATTCGCTCGCCTAAGAGTTCAGAAGAGACGTGCAAGATGTAGAAATAAAAAATTAAACAAGCAAGTCGTCGGTGCGGACGCCCACGGTGACGCCGGGTTATTCCGACGACGTCACTTTATTTAATCATGAGACCTACAGTCGTTTCGCCGCAGGGCATCACGGATTTTTCTACGTGAGAATTTTCGCGCCTTGTAATTCGAGTGTTACACGCATTACGTATGGTAGATGTTTGTGGCTTTTATATGTTCCAATTATTACGTAACGATCGAGCATCATAAAATGAAAGTTATGATCTCTGGTGACGGTACGTGTGAAAAGCTGCTCAGTCACGGTGTAGTTAAATGATGTTTCACCGAAACATAAATTAATTGGGTCACGTATAATGTGTCGCTTTAATATTAACGATTTCAAGTATAACGAGTAACATTTGAGGAAACGAAATACACGTAATTGTAAAAATTTGTAAATGTATTTAACAATTCTCAATATGAGAGATTATTTTTATAAACTCATTTTAATCAAACGTAAAATAAGAAATTTTTTTTAATAAAAAGCAATTTTAACTTTACATCTGGGATATTAAATTTGATATATTCTTTTAAGTAGATCTACTAAAATATAATCTTTTCTTAGTGAAATTTTTATGCTGCAAGCTGTTTTAATGTAACGTCATATCGGCTTTAATATGATAACGTCAAATAAAATATTCCAATAATTCTCTAAGATAATAATAATATTTTTTTCTCTCTAAAGGTTTTAGGTATAATACGTGATACATTATTAGCAAAAGCTGCTTACTTTAGGACAATATAGTTTTTATAACATTAAAATTTGTATAAAATTAAAGTCTTTGAAATCCGATCATCCAACGAACACGTAAATCTTTTTGTCTCATCAACACGTGCGTGCGTGCGTGTGTGTGTGTGTGTGTGTGAGCGTGTGAACAACTTATTATTAGAAAATAAGTGAATTGTTATTCCAGCGACAATGATTCCGAAGAACCATGGAGAGTCGAGAGCGACACCGACGAGAGGAACGAGAAGGCTCGAAAGGCTTATCAGGTCTTGTTAACGTTGACTGCGCGCACCCCGGACAATTTGGAGTACGTGAATTTTTCGCGCGAAGTTCAATCCTTGGCTCAGAGCAAATACAACTTCACCTTCAAGAAGAACTTGGTCTCTACCTTCGTAAGCTCGTTTTACGACGCCGTGCTGCTTTACGCCTTCGCTGTTAAAGAGAGTCTGCCGGAGAAACCGGGTGAGGTCAACCTAGACGGCGGTAATTTGACTCGCAGAATGTGGGGAAAGAGTTTCAAGGGTAAGTTTCAGCTTCTCTCATTTATCGTTGCTTACATTTATAGCGAAAGTCATTCCTGTCAGTCAATCTTGCGCGACTTTAGCGAAAACGACGACCGGATAAGTGGATGGAGGGATCCCTCGCGCGGAATTTTTTTAAGGATTTACGATAGGCATTTACCTTTTAACGACGAAACAACGATGGAATTTGCGTTACGCATTATCTGCATTTGTTGCATCAGTGTTACATTACGCCGATGGTTCGCCGTTTGTAATCGTAGTCGACAAAGCTGCAGGTCTATAGAACTCAAATCTATAGAACGAGAGAATCAACGATGTGAGAAAGGGTGAATGATGATTGCGTCAGGTGCACAACAGTCGAAAGTACCACAGTTAATTAAAGATGCTTTGTGGTCAGAACAGTTAAATTAATTATCCAGCGAATCATCATTCACAAAAATCTTTTGTTAACTTCTTTTGCCACAATTTACCAACTTTTACAACTAATGGAATCGATTTACACATTATCAAGTTTACGTGTTAACGACATTTGTATTCTGTCTAGTTTGAATGTTTATAATATTTTCATTTTTCTGGAGTCTCGGTATTTTTTTATTTATAAATTCAATCAGTTTGGCAGCATCTTTCAGAAACTGTTTGAGCTTGCCAGTAAATAAATGTATATTACTCAAATATTTGTCAATCCGTCTGAGTTTACGTTATTTTATCTTGCAATATGAGAATGCAAACAATTGCTTTCTGGCTTCACGTCTCATCTGCCAGGCAAGCATCTTTGAAGTATGACTACCTCTTATTCCTTTATACACGCTATTTCGCCTCGACCTTCGATCCTCGAGTTTTCTGAGAGAATTTTATAGCTGACGTAGCTGACGTCGAACGGAATGCTAGATTGCCAGGTCGCTTTGTGTTTTAATACGTTCCGTTCTTGTCCTCGCTAGATCCTCCTACATGCATTCTCTCACATTGCATTTCTACATCGGTTATCTCGAACTGCAGCGATCGCCCACGCGAGATTTTACCACACCGTGAAATGAAGCTTTGCGAGAATTAACAATTCCACAACTGCCTGCCGCGGCTGTAATATTCAACTTTGATTAAGCCCCACCGAGTAATCATATATGCAATGCCGTTTTGTTTTTGCATAATTATGACCACTTCTAGGAATAACCGGCGATGTAAAAATCGATGAGAACGGCGACAGAATTGCGGATTATTCCCTGCTGGACATGAATCCGGAAACATCTAGATTCGAGGTAAGACGCCGAGAATTAATAACTAATCTATGCTTAATTGCAAGGTACAGTTTCGCCCGTAGTTCCGCAACTAAAATAATTTAATTTGCGACGTTGCACGATGATAGCGAATTTAATATATAATATTAAGACCGAGCTTAAAATCTGACAGTAGTTACTTCTGACGCGTATTGTTATTCGCTCTGTAATGCATTCACGTAATTGTTTCATTTTCCTCTCCGCACTTTTCATCTTATTTGTGAAATAATTTCCCGCAGATTGTGGCCAATTATTACGGTGCGAATAAAACACTGGAATATATCCCCGGGAAGAAAATTCACTGGGCCGGTGGTCGTTTAGAACCACCCCCGGATACGCCTACCTGCGGATTCGATGGAATGTTATGCCCCGATAATTGTGAGTGGGTGATGCTTTGTTAATAATATAAGTGTAATAACAAATAAATAATATACGAGTGCTATGTAAAATTGTCAATACGGCAGAAATATGCAATCGCGACGAGGGTTAAAAAGATTTCCACATTTGCATAAATGTTAATTACGTTCGGTTACTAAAAACATTTAATATTTAACTAGAACGAAATAAAACATTTTAAGATAGAATTTTTCTTCCTCGCAATTGTGCCAGTATAATTCCGTATTTTTCTAGAGATAAAACCCTCTGTTTCTCTCTCTCTCTCTCTCTCTCTCTCAAAAAGTATATTTGTTTTCATTTAAATTACTAATGTTTGACACAGCTCTCCCAGGATATGCTATTCTCTCCATGGTATTGAGCTCCATCGTGGTCGTTCTCGTCGTAGGTTCAGTATTTATTTATCGGTAAGTCCAACCTGTTTTTAAACTACAACTTCATATATTTCTTTTATCAATATTGACGGCGATATAGATAGCACTGAGTATTACTTTTGACGAATTGAGATTTGGAGGAATTGGGATTTGGTGAATTGAGATTTATTGCGAGAAATAAAATGGAATACAACATTTATACCGAATAAACATACTTCGCGGAGGGGAAAAAAGATATTTGTGAAATGGATTGTTTGTGTAATAAAACCCGGTGAAATTCAATTTCAATTATTTCACCGATGGCGTGTTCTCGGTTTGAATTACACATGGTTCAGTGATCGTTCTCTTTTTCTTTCTTTCTTTTTCTCTTGCAATTTTAATTGGATAAGATTAGCAAAATCATTTTCCACTAGGAATTGTGTTTCCCATTGCAGCAGAGCTTCTTATTGAGTGTATTAATCTATAATAGCATATCCACCCAACGAAATATTCCAAAATAATGAACGACGATGTCACTTTATCTAATCGGCAAATTAAGTCAATAAGTGAAACTGACGTCAAACTAAAATACGTACTGCAAATAATTTATGCTTTTGAAATGTACACATTTAATATTCGCTAGCATTCGCGCTGATTGGTGCGTATTATAATTGGCATAGATTCGCTTTTAGAAATTTAAAAGACGTCGTTGCCTCGCTTGCTACTTCGTGAAGAGATAATCTCGATAACCCCCGGTAGCACACGCTAAGTGGATATATACATATCGAGAACATATAGCCGAGAAGCTCCTCGGCTTCTTTGAAGCACGATACGGTTAAAGGGGAGCAAGGCAAGGAAAGAAAGAAGAAACGAGTGAAGCGAGACACTTATCCGCTCTGAAATTTCTCAGATGCTGCGAGTTAATCGATTTAATACCATCTGTCCAACTCTACGCTAGCACTTGGCTCGCCAAGTGCCTTTGTCTCTTCAGTTTGTCAGCCATGAGAACATTTTCAAGAGCTTAAACGAATTGTCCCCTTCTATCCAGCGGTGATAATCCCAAGTAATCCCGAAGTAATTTAGTCGAGTATACCTGCGATTCAGTAGTGTCAGAAATACGGACGCAAAAATTTTACGAGTGAGATTAACTGATAATTAGTTGTTGACCCAATAACGAATTGTCACAATTTATTTAATTAATGTTTTGCACGCATAATTAGGTAAATCGATATCGATTTATGTTTCTTTAATTCACTAACATGTAACTTTTATATTAATTAATCAGACATAACAAATACATATATATAATATCTAAGCTTAAATTGTTTTTACATATGCCGGAAATTTATTAGATATTAATATTCAGCCTCAACGTTATATTTAACATTTTCAACGTTACATGTTATGAATCTATCTAATGGTTTCAATATCACATATAATCACATTTTATAATTTTAGTATTATGTAATTAGTGTTACGTATATAATGTATCACATACATTTTAGACGATCTATAACGCGTGTTACAACAAAATTTTATGATGGTATCTCTACCAATTTCATTATTATAAAGTGTACAATGCAAAATTATATGTATAGAATATAGACAAATTACTTTTACATTCAAGACATTTCACTAAAGCCAGATTACACAAAGTCTTCAAAAATACGTGAAATATGGAATAATAAATTTCAGGATCCTTATATTTTGAAAATCGTAAATATATCAAGAGATTAGTTATATAACGTGAAATGTGATATGAAATTTGTACAATTTATTAGAAACGATACCAGATTTTTCATTTAATAAATTTTGATTAATAACAAATAACGATAATTCCAACTACTGAAACTCGTAAAAATTGTACAAAATATATTTGCGAGTCCATAACATCAATACATGATCGTTAAATTTGGTGAAAAGAGCTAATATTTGATTGTTGGTTCAGCAATCAGTTTCACGTTTTTACATTTAATAAAATTTTTATTAATAACAATCAACGATCATTTTGAAACGAATCCGAATGGAATTGTTAATTAATGGTAAAAGCTATTAAATCTTACCTAAAAAGCAGGTATTTATTGAGTTATTTTGATCACGAGACACGGCAGTGTCTCGCGCCAAGTGTAAGCGTAGCTAGTACACGCGTGTAAATTTTACCACACGGGAAAAATTAAACGTTGATATCGCAGGCTGCCACAAACAACTAATTCACTCGATTGTATTTGCTATTAATTTTAATTTTAAGCATTGAACTAAATATTCAGATTATTAGGACAACTGTTTGACGTTTTTCATTCATTATTACTCATGTTGTCTCAACCAATTTATTTCAATTACACTGATACTGTTGATAGATCCCTTTTTCTGCGCATATATCGTTCGTATTCTGTCGCTTTCGTGTAATATATCTGGCGTCAGTGTTAAATAATTTTCATTTTACAAATCAATATAAAAAAACTGTATTATAACTTTACATTTCTTCAATTTATTGCAAGTAAATCGAATTTTCGAATTAAAATATTCCTGTCGTATCCCTACCGACCCGTTCTTATCACTATTTCTTCCTCGCGTTTTTACTCATGTAGCGTGATATTCTTACTTATCCATAACTAGTCGCGATCTACTGAAGGGAAGCAGAATCTTAACTGGTGGGACTACACAATTAACTGTAAAATTTAATCCAAGACATATTTCCTCTAATTACGTGCGATCACACATGTGTGTGCAAAATTATAGGTCTTGTTACCGAACCATATTCCCTTGTATTCGATCAATACATGGATGGGGCTATACAAGTTTAGACTAAAATCAGTGCATGAGTAAATGGGAGGGATAGACGGTAATTTAATATAATTAAAATATAAAATATATAAATCAACTGTACTCATTTACTGTATTCACTATACTTGCTACTTTTTCCTTCTCTGATCATCGTCAGCTCCGTATTCCTTCGACGCTACACTTTTGAAAACGCGTAATTACGGTTGCATACGGATTAATTGTTAACACAAGTCTTTCTATCTTAAGAGAAGTCTCGGGGCTGGGCTTACAGTCGAGTCTTATATTCAAGACCGTCTTGAATTTATTTAAAGATACTGTACAGAACGTTTCATTAGCTACGGAGTATCTGAAGATGATCTCGAGACAGCCTTGAATATAAGATCTGACTGTGAATACAGGCCTCCGTCTGTTAACACGGCACTCTCGAACGCGACGCGGCGTCACACGACAATTTCTCCGGAGTTTACGAATTCGATCGACGACGATTTTTTGGTGAGAACCGACACAGTGAGACGCATTATTTATTTGCACGTAAAAACGTTGTAGATCACAAAGTAATGGCTCTTGCAGACAGCGCGACAACGCGACGCGCGATAATCCAACGGGCGTACAGGGCTGGGCTTCTTTATGGGAAAGTAGTACGCTTTCCCATAAAACCTATACGCTCATTGCATAATCGCGCGTTGTCGCGCTGATCTGCAAGAACCATAAGATATTCATTTATCTGTTTGAAATATACACTTCGATAAAATCATCTCGCTACACTTATGAATCGTTTCAGCACAGGCTTTAATACTTGCTTATTGTAACAATCGTAAGGTGTAAGTGTGCTTTCTTGGTACTTGCGATCGTGTCCCAAGATTAACGCGACGGTAGATGGAGCGGCCACGCGTCGCTACCTTTCGTAGGCGAATGATAGCACGACTTCTTATCTATAACGGCATGCTATACACCGCGAACGAAAACAAACACCAAGGTCTTTGTGACAATCAATATACCGACAATATATATACGAGATGTTTAACACTTTAAAACAAATTTCAAAGATTCTATTTCTTTTCAAGTATATTACATACTTGTGTTCCCAATTAATTTTAATGAGTCATCGACGCCAATTAGATTTAACGTTTACTTGGAAAAGGGAATTTATTGCTTTGATGTAAAAGTATTTATGTGAACACCTACAAAATTTAATTTGATTTATATATTCTTACGATACAACGTATACGTTAAATTATGTGATAAAACGGATTCCGATAGGTCTTATGCTTGGCTTAACATTAAGCTCGGTACGTTTGGCAACGATCTGTTTTCGATAATTATTATCATCGTATCTTCCCGGCTCTTCGTCGGGGTTTATTGCGTGTCGTTTTTCATTATAACTCGGCTTTACACACGTCGTATACTTCCGCAGAATTTTAATCAGGGATGCAATAGCGCGGTTGCACAGTTTTACAACTTGCTTTAACGCGCATTACGATCTCTCTGCTTAATACAGTGTACGGTTATCGAACAAGACAGCTATCGCTTCAGCCATCGAACGTTGAATTTACCGATGTTTTTAACGGAATGTTTTTATCGAAGTCTGTTCAAGTATTTTAAATTATTATAATAAATTGAAAAATTAAATTACATCACGATTGAAATTATTTGCATCTTTCATTGCGGACAGTTTAGTTTACGCGACATTTTGCTAGAAATTGTTGAAATAATTTTATAATTTACGAGATACAAATGCCGGTAACGCGGGCGAAGTATAAAATGTCATCAGTCAAATTATGCAGTTTGTCTTTGTCTTCTATTTTATGTAGAAGATGCCTTTTCGACGAGCAGCCGCGTACGCGTTTCGCTTCGAGAATTCGCCTCAAAAGCCTTACGCATCTGTAATATAGTACTTTACATTCGTGAAACAGAGACAAAATTATTTCGTATAAAAAGCCAACGTACTCGTTACGCCGAAACGACGAGCATGTTGGCTTGTAATTCGCCCTTTTAAGATTAAATATTGAAGGGAATTTGATTGAAAGCCGTAAAGAGAAGGAAACATTGTCGATAACGTTTTTTAGCGGCATATATCGCATATTATTAGATAACTGTCGGGCACTAAACCTGGTACATAGACACATGAGCGCTGATAGCACGCAACATATCGAATTTCAATGCTACCGGATACGCAATTCGACGCGCTACAAAAATACCGAGTACACAAAAATAATCCACGCATTTGTCCGCGAGAATTCGCAGTGCGTTGTACGCTACCAAATCTACGGAATCGACCGAGTTCGACGATACTGCGCGCATCGGTGTCGCCCAACAACCCCTAACAAATACGCAGGGTTGTAGGATTGCGCTTTCGTCGTTTGCAATTCACCCCGCGAACGTTTGACACGGTAAACTTCCGATGAATATATCGAACTCATTTACAATTAGTTCGGGAAATTCCGTGCACACGGAAGCCTTTATGCGCGGAATAATATCCCGCCTGGGACAGATAGGCGTTATGAGATACGCCGTCACGTAATTACCTCTTGCGCTGTTCAACGTGTACGCACACCGATGCGCCGGTTGGAAACTTGTTAGTCGTATGTTCGCACACGTCCCCGTACATCATCCTCGTAGATATCGGGCGAAACATACCGAACGGATAGCATACGTGTACGTACATGCGGTACCAAACACACGTGCACACGCAAGTTTACCGAGTTTACAAATTGCATCTTTGCAGCGGACGGAGTCATCGTGAAAATATTTCCGTTATATACGCGGCATGATAATTGCCGTTGATAAAAAGCATCTCGTTAATCAACCAAGGAAAAGCGCGCGATACTCTTTGCCGTGGGGGAAAGAGAGATAATGCGATTGTCCGGAATTAATCCACGACACGTACGCTTAGGCGCGCGGTTTATCACGCGGCCATAAAATATTGCGTAAACTCTTCCTCTTTTTTTTTTCAACGCGCCTCGGCTGTGACTCTCCTCCGCGAGAGTCGATCGCCGATAATATTATCGTTTATTTTGCAGGCGCTTCAAACTGGAAGCGGAAATTGCCTCCATGACGTGGAAAGTGCATTGGGAGGACGTAATCGTGAAGCCTAACCCGAAGACAAGGGGCTCCTTGTACTCCCTAGTCGCGAATAAGTTTGGCGGTAGTCGAATGGTAAATATGACGGAAAGCACGATTTCTCGCGTGATCGTTGACGTAAGACTCATCGCCTCGCTCACGGAAGCGACAATTCGATTATCTCGGGATCCGGAAAAGTAATTCGAGCGGATTAGGCAAATGTTTGTCGCGACAAGCTACAGTGGATAAAATAAACAACGTCGCGATGGCGATCGAATTTTCATTCGAGTGCTCATTCCAATGGCGTTTATTTATTCCAATAATTTTATTCCTGAGAGAACGGTGTTCGTACCTTGGGCGGGATCTCAGAAGAAAGGAAAGAGGACAATGGTGGAAAGTACTACTTCTGAGTAGTGCTTACCCACTTCCGGAGCATCGGGAGAGTAGCAACCATAAAGAAGACTTTATTCCATTGTACGTTATTCTGTTGACGCGTCCCTTATCATTTCTTTACGTGCCGTTACGGTGCAGGAGCAAAAGAGAAAGCATCCGTTTTTTATTATAATTTCGTCCTCGTACTCCTCTTATTTTCTTATACCGAATGAAAGAAACAACGGAAGACAAATAAATGCCACTTAGCCTTGATATTATATCGGTTTGCACGATCGTACAAAGCACGTCGGAATCTGCGACTTAACGAGAGTCTTTGACCAATTTGCACTAAACTACATTTAATTGAAATGTCGAGGTTTCAATCATTTATTTCCGGATTTCAAACAATTGCGAGCGGAGAACTTTTTTTTCAAACGAAACTTTTATATTATATTTAAACAAAGTAGAATTTACTCTATTCAACTTGATTTCCACTCGCGTTTGTTTTCAATTAAAGGTGTGATTACTAAGGTATTTAACATTCAAAGTTTTCCTTCGGGAAAGATCAATTCTAAATTTGTCAAAGAAATCTACTAAGATCTACGAAGTAAGCTAATATAACCTAAGCTATTAAAATATTCCTTGCAATTAGTAGCTTAAGATAATCTTGCGTAACTTTCTTCTAATTAATTATTATTTAAGAGACGATCTCTGTTCCAGACGGTTTATTCTGAGGATAACGCAAGTCTGCTAGATGGTGTTAATAGAAATGAGTATGTTCCGACAGGATTTTATAAGGTTAGACTATGTTTCGTCTTTATTTTATCTTTAAATCGCATGCATGTATAACGCGATGTCAATCACGTCGACTATAAGTTTAATAATACTAACCAAAATCTAGAAAACAATCAGTCATGATACATCTACGTAGGTATCATGAGAAAATGTACTTTTCGACTTGTTTTCAAGTGATTTTTTTAGTTCAAATTCTTCAGCATTAATAGGAGTAAATGCCAACATATATTGTCTACAATTGAAATACACATACACACACACATATGTATATATGTATATATATATTTCATGAACGTCGAATACGAGTGTGTGCTGTTCCTGTCTGCCAATCAATATTCATTCTACTTTTTTTTTTAAATAGGGATATTGCTTCAATAGAACGTCGAACAATCGCGCGACAAGTGCATTCGAATGGAAAACGTAGCGTGAGAACTGATTTGTTAATGATTTCATCGCAAGCGCGCGGCTCCAACTCTAGAAAAGTTTTTTCATAAGATTTGCGTTCTTACAATCGACTTTTTGAGAGCTTGAGTTATTTTACGAAGCTTATTTGTTGCTAAACAATAAAAAGATCGTCGAAATTCTCCGGTATTCAATATTGATCCAATTTATATTTTCGCGTGTCGTTTTGCAAGATAGAAAATGGTGTGTGTGTGTGTGTGTGTGTGTGCGTGTATTGTGTGTATATGTACATACACACAATACACTTTTTCATGGGCATTTGGTTTTCACGGGGTAACAATCGAAGAATTGTCAGTGAATATTTCCGCCGACCGTGAAATCGCAATTCGTTTCAGAATTCGAAAGTCGTTATAAAACTGATACCGAAGAACAAAGTGGAGATCTCAAGACCTTTATTATTGGAACTAAAGCGGGTGAGTAACTGACTTCGCAAACGCATGTCGAACCTCATAAATTATTGTCAATGTTAATTTGCCAAGAACAACTCACTACTTCAGGACGCAATTCCCAATAAGATGTTTCTCTCTTTCCGCGTGATTTCCCCCTCGCTAACCGATGTTGCATGTAACAGACTTTAATTCATATGAGTGGTGATGTTGGTGACTTTCGCAGATGAAGGATCTTCAGCACGATCATCTTGTACGATTTTTCGGTGCTTGTCTCGAGCCGCCGCATTGTTGTCTCCTAACCGAATACTGCCCCAAAGGATCTCTCCAGGTGAATTGCATTCCGTGTTCCGATTTAAAGTTTTGATGAACAACCGAGGAAATAATTACGTCCCGCGTGTCACTAAGTTAAAGCGAGATAGCTGTCTACTGGTATAGAATGTGCTACAGTTTTGATTTTAATGGCAATGTTTTTCTTAATAAAAAAAACATTAACATCATGCACAATAATTATGGATCGACTAATTCAATTAATTTTATCAATTCACTTTAATTAACTAACTTAATTAATACAACATTTTAGAGATTGCAAAGGCAGAATGTTACACTATTAAAAATAGATCAATTACGATACAGAATACAATTTCTCCCTTAATATTTTCTTTAAAGAGAATCAATTAAACTGGTCGCAATATTTGTAATTAAAGCATAAGATATGAAACATTTTGTATATATAGTCTGCATTAATGTTCGAGTGGCGAATGTGCGCTGCGAGCAAGTGTACGTGGTGGACTATTAATCGCATTCGTTTATAGTTACAGGCGTCCTGTATGCGAAACAAAAGATGCTGTATTTTATCGGATACCTGTCTTACCTTATAATGCAATTTCAAGTACCCGACTGTTAGCTTGCTTTGCCCGAATTGCAATTCTAAACGCGAAACATTTATATAACTGACCAAAGAAATTGTGTGTCAAAGGAGACGCATAAAATATAGAATATTCTGTATATTGAGAGACATGCGCATATATAAAGTAATAACATTGAAGCGTACAATGTGTTCGAACGTTTGACCGGGATGTAAGGTTGCATAAGAGCGAGCCTGCGCGCTACACCGGTGCCTTAAACTTATGTTGTTGGACAGGATATACTGGAGAACGAGCAGATAAAGCTCGATCGAGTGTTCAGAGGCTCCCTGATACACGATATCGTGCGCGGCATGGCCTATCTCCATGCGTCGGAAGTGAAGAGTCACGGTAATCTCAAGTCTTCGAACTGCGTCGTCGACTCGCGATTCGTCTTAAAAATCGCCGACTTCGGCTTGCACGAGCTGAGAAAGAGCGGGGATACGGATGAAGATAGCGACAAGAACAGCTACGCCTATTGGAGGAGTACGTATCATATTATGCGAGCCCGGTTATGCGCGCCCGTAAAGCATTCTCGCGCGGCGATATTTTCCCAACGATCGTAGTTGCAACGCCAAATATTTTCCAAGCGCACGAAAACGCGGGCAAAAGTGGAGATAATAGCTAGAGTACACGTGCAAAACTTCTGTTTGGCGATTTAACTATTTGGACAAGTTCCTTTGCCGCGCATACGTTTATCAATAGTAACTGCGCGGGAGAAATGTTTATTCAATAATTTTTATCGTATATATTGCAAGAGTTTTAAACGCGACGAATATTTTTTTTATGCGACATTTTTATTTCTCTTCAAATATTTGTAATTTATATTTGCAATAACGATCGGACGACGGGCGGAAAAGGAGAGAGAGAGGGAGAGAGAGGGAGGGGGGGGGGGCTGCGACAAACCGCTCGACCCGTTCTGATTTTTTAGAGCAGGAAATTTGGTGTTTGTAGAACAGCTGTGGACAGCTTCGGAGTTACTGAGGATGGAGAGACGACCGCCCGAGGGCACTCAGAAAGGCGACGTATACAGCTTCGCTATAATCGTTCACGAGATCGTGGTGCGCCAAGGGCCATTCTACTTGGGGGACAATAACGAACTCTCTCCAAAGGGTGAGTCTTTAACGTCATTCGAGATAATCGCGGATACGAAGCAATTGTTCCTCTCGTCGCGTTTTGTATTACGCGAACAAAAACGGTAATTAGGATACATTTTTCTTTGTTTCTTTCGATATGCATAACTTGCATTACGACTAATTTGACTGGAAGCCAACAACATCGGTTGGCTGTTATTTGTAACTACCTTCCTATCGTTCGGAAGATTACGTAATAGCAGAGAGAAATCTAATTTGTTTTTCGCAATAAATTAAAAAATGTTGAATATTTATAGACACTAACACCCCGTCACGGCTCTTAGTCCTTTATTCCCTTAAATTTGTGTTTATCGCACATTTGAGTCATACGAATTGCACATTAGCTTTGATAAGAAAATTTTTAGTGCTTCAAATAAAAAATATCTAATAGAAATACGTCAATTTATACACAGAATATACATACACATAAGTGTTTTAATGAAGAAGACCAACGGAAACTTGAATACTGTTATATGACTATGTTCATTTCACTATATACACTGACTCCATTTTACCGCATATTGACTCTCGCGTCCTTGTTTCTGGAGGCGGCATGCACGTTCTGGAACACGATCACGAACATGCCGTCGCGTGACGCGATTTGTGATAGTTCACATGTTACGATTTGGCTGATGGCAATCCACAGGTTTTAGATTTAACAAAAAGCGACGTGATCTCGATTCATAAACTCGATGCGCAAAGCATGTACAGAAATTACGGTATCTTGCAATGCGAAATTGCAGATAATGTATACTGCGAGGCTGTTTCATTTGCTTGTTATTTTTGCGATTTGTTAAAGGAATATCAATGACGAGTACTTCTTCCCAGGTTTTTAATCGTATGAGAAAAGTTGTTCTTAAAAAGTTTTTAATTTAATGGCATTTAATATAATCTCGTGCAATTTTTGTGAGAATAAAACCGCAATACTAAATTATTTGCCTTTTATATTTTCCTTGATTTAACGATCAATTTTTTAAAGGAGCTTTTTATCTGCTGATAAGTGAAATTTCGCCTATCGTTTTATCAACCGCCGGATATCGTCGCTTGCGAAAACTCGACTGCTCGATTCTGGCGAGCTTGCAAGCTGGCTCCTGTTGGAGTTTGTTCAATCTGTTACCGACGGTCGCTCCAGAGCAAGTAGTACGCATTGTTTAAAAGCATACAAAATATCAATCATCTCACAAAGTGGATATATGTTATATTGCAACAAATTTTGAACATGTAATTACAGAATATAATTCGATGACCAGTTTATTTCTTATTTGAATATTATGCGTAAAATTGGAAAATCCTTCATCATGCTCGCAAAACTTTCAATATGTATGTAAAACACATATAATCAATTAATTCATAAAATGTAATAATCAAAAGTCTCCAATGTATATACCTTCTTAATTATATCTCATTGAATTATCTTATCAAACATTAACAATCAGCGAAGATTGATAACGCAGTTTGCAAGGATATCTCTTGTTCCGACCGATGGCTTCGAGAGGAGAGAAAAAGCGAGTCCGATACGCGTATCGATATTGAATATTAGCAGATTCCCCCCCGGTAACACTGGCCGGTGCAAAGCGACACGAGCTTTACCGCCGAAGCTCGCCACATTTTGACTATCGGGGAAAATCGATATCTCGCACGACCGGTAATAAAGCTCTCGCACAAGCTCGCAAGCTCACGACCGGCCGCGAGGATCGTCCGCACCATGGAACGTGTCGCGAGTTCCGGAGGAGCATGCTGAAACGAGGTCCGAAAGCTCAGTCGAAGCTCTCGCGCGTCCCAGGACGCACACGGCTCTCGCGCGCGTTTCGCCGGGATTCTCCTCGTCTCATCACTCTCTGTCCGTTTGCGCTCTTCGGAGCAAAAGAATATTTCTTCACACGTGAAATCAACGGGCACCAATTATGCCCGCGTCCACGGTCTAATAACGAAGTCGTAGGTGTAGTTCTAAAACGGGAAAGAGACAAATCCTTGGAGCGAGCGGCATACCCGATAACGTGCGTGCACAATATTCTTCCGCCTCCCCTTCCCTCCCTCTTACTCGTGAGTTACGTGCAATCGCACGAACGTGTCATCGGAATCTGTCGCAAAATTGGTCTCGTCGCGTGATTCATCCGCGATTCACCCGCCGTTTAATCGCCGGTTAACCGGCGTCAGTATCGATTCCGAGTGCGAAAAGACCGCCGCACCGGGTCGACGCACCTTCGTAATATCCGCGTTACAACCGCGCGGAAGCAATTACCGTTGCATCACGGAACGTGAGGAAAAACATCGCGCGGAAATAAATCCCGGTGACCGTGTTGGAAGGAAAGAGGCCACTGACCATAGAGGTCCCCCGGTAGACGGAATGTAGTCCGCCCGTATTAAAGTTCTTCTGCCGAGGAAAGTCAATTCCCAATTGGATTAGAAAAAAACCTATTAAAGAAAATGTTCAATCTTCCACTGGATAAAATGTTGTCGACCACATCGAAGTGATCCTTCGACGACGTTGAGAGCAAATGTTTGATAATGTGGGCCTCTCCGTTAAGCAAAGTGAGGCTGATGACAGAGAACGATCCGTAAACGCTTAAGTCTGCCTCGGGTCCGGTTTCACCAGCGTTGTGTAACTTTAAGCTTAGCTTAATTCAGTCTTCGCCTCTTTCCAACTGTTACTTTAGAAAGAGACAAACGTGAATCCAACTAAGATTAAAGTTAAGTGACGTTTGGTGAAACCGGGACTTGGTCGCAGACGTAAGGCAAGGCAGAGAAAAACTTAAGTCGTATACAATAGACTTTCACAACTTACGTTTTTCTCTGCCTTGCCTTACATCTACGACTAAGACAGACTTAGGCGTTTACGGATCGTTCTCTGCCATCAGCCTAAACCGTCGATAGCGATAAACTCGCGGATAAAAGATTTATTAACAGTGTTTTCAGCATCAGTTAAGACCGCCGGTCGGATCATTCGTTTACTTGAATCACTAGTGGATTTAACTTCGCGTCTATACGTGCGATGCGGTTTGATCTGGTAGAGTGAGCACGATTTGCTGACAGACCGAGGAGGGAAACTCGACGAGAGGTAGCGCGGTAATCCGACAAGTGATAGATCGCATAACCGATCAGACAGTGTCGTAAACGACCCGTTTCGCGTTCTGCTACGTTTCCTGCGCGAGTTCACCGGCCGTTCGCCGCACCATGCAGCCCTTTATTTTCTCCTCCGTTTCCTACCGCGCGCGAACTTTTCTTTTTTGCCCTATACACTCCAAAATGTTTTTGTCGCGACAGACGGGTCGTTTTATCGTTCCGTTGCAACAACGCGAAATTACAGTGTACTTCAGCGTCTCTTTATCGTACCCACTTTTTTCTGTACTTCCCAAGTATTTTCCCTTCGCAATTCTTGTTTATGCGGCCGTGATGAAAACGTATTTCCTAAGATTTCCCCGAGGAAAATACAATTTTTATTCTCAAAAAGAGATATCGGCTCCGGGATTAGAAATAAACGGATTGAGTAACTTCCGCGAGCTCTTTTATATTTTTATCCAAGATATCCAGGAATCTTAGTTTGAGTTTCACTATTTACATTAATTTTTAATACACGGAGCTTTATATTGATATCCGGGCTCTCTGTTGTGTAAACCCGGGAGATAAATCAAGAGATATGTGTGCGTTATATAACGATTATATTCAATCTCGATACCCACGTTAATGTCGAGTCCCTTGTACCATGAATACTTCACTCGCGAAGCGTCCCGACTTTATTTCCTGGAGAATAACGGTGAAAAGTATTCGTGCAAATTTAGTCGACGGCGAAATCGAGGTTACGAGCCCGCGGCTCACGGTCATTAATTCTGCGAGGTATTTTTCGGTGAGCGGCGAAACGGCGGAACAATTTCGTCGTAAGCGGCTTGCGACTCGCGAGTCCCATAAAAAAGATACGGCGTGTCGTGTAGTGACGATGGTGTCGGAAAGTTAAGACCGGCGTATGCAGTAGGACAAAGTTTAACGGGGTCAGTGGAGGCAAAGATCCGCGGTGGACCCGGCCGGGAGGGGCGGCACAAGCCCCGAGTGTTTCCCTAATGCGGCGAAATCTCGCTAAGGAGAGAGAGCGACTGCGGGTTTATCACTTAGACCTTAAAACACATTGGATGGTCCGTCCGAGTGACTCCCGGAAAGTTTTTCTGCTTTACCCCAGCGGAAATAAGTATTTGCATTTGGCGTTTTAATGAAGCGGTTCGTTATTTCTCGAGTTCCCTTCCGGAAGTTCTATTGATTTTCAGTTACTCTCGGTAACCTTCAGCAACGCTCAATCTTCTTTCTCCATTTAAATCAAGTCCAACTTCTTTTTTTTTTAATCAAGAACCGAGAAGGCTATTAGGTCCGAGCAAAGCGTAGATAGCCAAGTAATTTTAACGTGTGAATTCTTAAACCGTTTTTCCATCTGTGCTGCGCGCCGGTTTCTTTTCGGGCATTTAACGCAGTTTCGTTTAGATGGAATCATCGCCAGCAGATTCGCGTATTTAAGTCGATGAACGGAATCTAATTATTTCAAATGCTGTATTTCGCGTATTTAAGTCGATAAACGGAATCTAATTATTTTAAATGCTGTATTTAGCATATACGATAAAATACCCAGCTTTTTCTACTGTAAAGAAATCTTATCTATCTTTCTTTTTTTTAGTCTGAAATATTACATTATATTTTTTAAATATTTTTAGTATTAAACAGAGATTTCGCGTGATTCAGTCTGTTGGTCGCGATTATTCGCGAAAATTGACGCGTCTCTCGGAGAGAAATTTCGAAAGCAACGAACTCGTGAACTCGAACGAAAACAGGGTCGTTGGTCACAAGACGATCAGATAAAGATGACGGAAAAGGGATTAAAGGGGAAAGAAGTCAAAGTCAAGCGCGACGACACAAGGCCATTGAGACGTAACTTTTCAACGAAATTCCGTCAAATAAATCGACCGTAATATCGTTATACGCCAATTAAACTTTAAGATGCTCATCGCACTTGTCTTAATGTCGAGCGCTCCGAGCAAAGCTTTCGGATAAGAGCTGCATTCATTAGGGTTCTGTAATGTAACTTCTACAAATCGATTTAGCACGAAATGGATATTCTATTCAGAAGTATAAGTGTCGCGATAGTTTCTGTTCGGCATTAAATATATTACTATTAAATAGTACTTTAATGAAACTATACGTTTTCTATGGAAACGTAGCTGATCCTTAAAATTTCGCCTACTTAATTACTCGACTAATCTGATTCTTATCATAACTGTTATTCGCAGAAATTAGCCGTGTGGCCAATTATGGAAATAACAATATGTAATTATGAGCAATTATTATAACAGTAACCGAGTGCTTAAAATTTGCACGCAATTTCCGAGAAAAATAAAACGCATGTTAGCGATTCGATATCTCGTAAATGTTATTTTAGCTCGTTGGAAAATACGCGCGTTTTTAAACGAAATAAGACAAATAAACACTTGAAAGAAGAATGGTAAATGTTTTAGTAGCTTGCAGAGATACTGTTTACGCGATACGCTGAGTACATTTCTCTTGCATGCTAAACGGCAAATGAAAATTAATTCTATATGAAATGCTTGTTACACCAGATCCGAGATAAACGCAATAAAATACGCGTTACTATACGTGTTAAGATAACATACTTAATTGCAGAGAGCCGTGATATAAATTCATGTATTAATGTTTCAATAATGTAAACTCCAAATTGTTAGATTTTCTATGTTAAACCTGGATATCTTTGAAAAAGGTATACATATATAAAACGTATATATACGTGCATAGAATTATGCGGCTCAGATATTATTTATGCAAATTTTCAGTAAAATTATCGTGTGAAAACGTGCCGTCGTATCTACCTGCATTTTCTGGATTTGCTCTCGGTAACGAACTCCGAAGCGCATAATAAATGTCCCTTCTCTCTATCTGTATATCTATCTCTATAAAGTCCCCCTTTTCATCATACGTCGTCACGATCGCGCAACTCCTTGCGACAGTTTTCATCCGTCAAAACGCGGCGTACGGTATTCACGAGCGAACTTTCCGCATGACATACCACATCCGACCCGTTCAACCGCGATCGCGCAGAGGACCGCCCCGAATTTGTAAATGTTCGGATTATAAAATACCATCTATCGAATAGATGACATTCTTAATCGAGTATGCCGACTCGGCGGAGGTATAATACGTCGCGCGTATCTGCATGCGCACACGCATGCACGTACGCGAAGTGAAGAAGGAAAGAGAGGACGAGGAAAATCCGATATCGCGACGACGGTAAATTTTCAAGAGCTGTCCGGCGAGGCAGTTTGGCTTTCCCTCGATCGACGGCCTTCGAGGACGAAGACGGAATGGAAAGAAGTAACGCCTCGAGCACGAGCAGCCTGACCCTACCGCAGATGCCGGGGCCGAGTCCCGACGGCGGGGCCAGTCCCAGGAGGGCCGTCAGCCCTCTCCTCGAGGTCCGCAGGCCTCACTGCACCCTCAACTGCGAGTCCTGCAACCAGTTCCTCGAGGACCTCTACAGGCACAGTACGTGTCCGTTGTCCTTGACGGGCGACAGCGGATTCGATTTTCCGTAGCCACGCTCGAATTCGATACGCAATCAATTATGCCATAAGCATACTTGTACGACCGTCATCCGGCTCCTGGGGATAGAGAGACCCGTCGGAATATAACACCCGGTATTAACCTCGAGCAAAATTAGCTTTGTAACATTTTTGCGCGTGCAGAATTCCATTGCACGAGATACTTTGGCCGGTACACGTTATAAATTGTTGTTGATATTGTTGCCGGAGAGGAATTTTGTATAAAATATGCAACGCTCCGCTAGACAGTAATTGGAGTAGAATAGTCCAAAAATGCCTCACATTTTTGCAACTTTTTTTTACTGAATTTTGTTGGACTTTTGTATTACTTTTAATATAAACGTCGATATATTCTATCTACTTCAATATATTAATACTTTTTGACATACACGCAAACGTGTAAGGTTTTAATTGAGATATCATTATTACTGCTACAATTTTAACTGATCGTATATACTTTTCTTGTATTTTTACACCACACATATAATTGTTAGTTTTGAAAATATACTTTACTACAATAGTTTTATTCCTTTTAAGTTTCCTTTCCTTTCTCATTTCGAGAATTCAGAAGGAGCATAACACATGATGATATATGATACGCAGGAATCAAACTAGAATCTACTTGGAGATTCTATATGTGAAATAGTGCTTGCAAATATTTCCTTTGCCGCGTGGGCCATGGAATATTATTCAAACCGAGATCTTTCCTGTAATTTCCATTTGGTTCTGTTGTTTGTTACATCATCTCAGTTTCGCTCATCGCGTCACTTCAAATGAAATTGTAAACACGAAGGGGACAAAATAAAATTGAAGAAAATATATTAATTGGAGCAGAAAAATGAAAAATATTAATTAAACGTTATTATAAATAAATATATCGCTTCAATCGCTTTTAATTGTAAAAGCAAGCTTGCATTTCACACACAGTCCGACGATTAAATAATGAGACCGATTTCATTCAAAAGAAGCAACTGCAATGGTTACGATAAAGCTCTATTTTCGCCTCTTTGGTATGTATTAGGAGGTTCGGAAGTTCTCGCCGCTCACATTTATATGGCTCTAGTTGCATATTTCGAGAGCATAAACAGCTATGACTTGAGTCATCTTGAAGGTCCGATATATTTCAACGAAATTCAGTAAACGGGCGTCATTCTTGGTGTGCAAAATTGTAAATTTTTAATCGAAATAGAAATGGATCGCAACGATCCATCAGTGAGAACATGTAGACAGTGGTTTGAACGATTCAAAAAGGTGATAGTGACATCAATGACAAAGAACGATCGAGTCGCCCGGTAGGGGGGCGTGGTATATTATGAACTGTTGAATTCGAACGAAACAGTCAATGCCGAATGTTATCGCGATCAATTAGAGCATTTGAATGCCAATTTGATGGAAAAACGGCCATCTATTGCGTCAAATCGCCGAAAAGTGATTCTTCTCCATGATAATGCTGTAAAAAAAAAGCTGTCGAGCCCGTTCACCAGACTTGGCTCCGTTGGATTATCATAATCTCAATGCAACACGATCTCGAGAATACACACTTCGCAAACTGCGAAGAAATAAAAAAAATGCTAAATGGATCGACTTAAAAAACAAGCCATTCTATCGACGCGGAATCCAACTTTTGCCAGAAAGATGGGAAAAAGTCATAGCTTCCGAGGGCAAGCACTTTGATCAATGAATTCATTCATTTTATTAGTGAAATAAATACGTATTTTAAAAGAAAAAAAACTGCGAAAACTTTTCGAACTTCCTAATACAAGTTATAAAAGAGAACTAAATTCTGTTATCATTGTTTCATTCGCGTTTGTCGATTCACCTCAATTCGTTTCTCGTGACGCGTGTTTACACCAGAAAACCGCTTAACTAATTCTATGATTTTATGGAACGGACATATCAGCGTTAGACCGGGGCGGAGTTCCGGCATGAACGTAAATGTATTATGTAAGTTGATCTCCCACCCGTTCCGGCACGGTTTTTACCCGCGATAAAATTGGCGTACGCCATATACGTGACCGGAAATGAAAATTGTGTTATCAATGATTACACGGCCTCAAGCGCTCACTACTTTTTATAATTTTATCTAACCGATGATTCAGTCCGATTCCTCATCAGTTACGTTCGATAACTTGCGCTCATTCGAGTGTTGTATAATCCTCGTAAGAAGAAATCTATTTCGCAAGATAAGAATAAATTGTATAAGTCTTGTCTTATATAACGAGATCGAAGACGTTGAAATACAATCACAGAAAGCTCGTCCCTCCTCCCTCTTTCCCTCGCTCATCTTCGAAACGGAAATAAAAATTATTCTCGATAAAACAGAACTTGGTACTGCAGTTTCACGGTTCGTTGTTGCCCCGAGACGTCAGTCTGCAAATATATCTTATTGGAAAATTTTCATACGGGCTAGATGCGCTACAATGAATCGATACGAGCGGCATTGTACTCGAGAAGATCAAACGGTCAACGGAAAATTTGTAGCCGGCTGGCTCTTTGAAACGATACGTGGACAGTAGTGCGGCACGCTGGTAGGCGGACGAAGGAGAGAGGGCCTCGCGCTAGGCGGACATCGCTGTCTGACGTAAGCGCGGACTACTCCACTGAGCCATGGATAAAAGTAGTTTCGCGCGATTGCATGCGGAGGTTCTGAGTAATTGCAATATCGCGGAATACCTCGTGGCGTTACGTCGACTGTCTTTTAACACGTTGCCACGTCCTATAACAGTTCACGCGTCCCCCAATCGATATTGTTACGCCCAAGCGGAATTATATTTTCCACGCGTTTTCCTTCTTTTTACTTTTTCCCCCTTTTTCATCTAGAGATTCTTTTACACTGCCCTGTGAACTTTGATACGACGCGACGTTCTTTGTCTCTGTTGCAGAAATAGTAGAAAGTGTCAGAAGAGGTGGCGGCTCACCCTTAAGGCCTGTAGTCGACGAAACCGTTGAAGAGGAGGTAAATACCATTGGCAAATATTTTTAATGCATTCGCATATTCGCATTTGCGCGTATGCGCGGCGTATTTGCTCGTGATAATCAGCGCGTCGTTCATTAGCATTATCAATCGCATATATTACCGTAAAATATTCATGTCATTCGACGTATCATTAACATATATATAATATTATTAGTCGCACGTTTGTTTAAAATGAATTTTCCCAGAGGGAGAGAATAAATTTACAAGATGAATCTCATTTTACAGGTAGCTACTCTAATGAGACGATGCTGGGCGCAAGATTCCGCAGACCGACCGGATTTCCCCGCGCTGAAGCAGACGATTCGTAAAATTAATAAGTGAGTAATTTCACTCCAGAAATTTTACGTCATTAGCGATTTACAGGTCGCGCGTTTTCTAATTACGAATTAAGTCCGCGTCGACGCCGAAAACGTTATGTAGTTTGACGGCGAACTTAAAGCGGAAACCCCTCGAGCAAATTTTAATTACCTATTCTCTCATTAAGCTAAAAGCCCGCGTTGTAAGCGCGGGGCAACGTAGCGCGGATATCGAGATTGCGATAGAAAAAATACTGCGTGTATCGTTTTCCAGAATACCGATAAATCCTCGGGCTGGGACGTTATGCGAGGCGCGGAGCCGTAAAACTCGGCGTAACGTTCGAACTATCAGGAGAATGCATTAACTGCGTCATCGAGGTATTGTTCCCCGTCTAACGTTATTTCCGTCTCGTCGGATTTCTACCGGATTCGCTGTTACGTTTACGTCGCGATGTCGGTGTGTCGGAAATGTCGATAACGACGACGATTTCCTCCGACGTATGTAATTGCGCGGGCGCTAAAACGCGGCCGCGTCTTCGGCACGGAAGAGAGACGTGAGATTCAGGTCGAAACGAATTGAGAAATGGCTGCGATCTCCGGTATATGGTGTGGAACAGCGTCGTTCGTATTCAGCTCGGCAAATTGTACGGGCCATTGTAGAGGCCGACATAAAGCGTTGCAAGCGAGAGCAAAACTCGCGATATCTTTACGAGTATTTCTTTTCTTCTATGGCGAAGGCGGGCAGTCACCTCCTTTTCTCGCTCCCTCCCCCCCCTTCTCTCTCTCTCTCTCTTTCTCTCTTCCCGGTTAGATATTGGCATAGTTGTCGACCTTCCGGGCGTTGTGCATCATCTCACACGCGAGAAAGAGTACATCGTCGAGTCCAGGCACACGGTAATTCAGTAGGTCAATAACTGCACGTGAAAGAGAATGGCTTCCGAACGGTTGAGCGCGTTCCGTTGAGGAACAGAAAATCGAGAAATAAGCGGAAAAGACGGCGATGAGAGGCTGGAAAGCAGAATAAGCCGAAAAAAAGAACCTGAAAGAACCGTGTCACCGGCAATCGATCATCGAAGCAATCGTTCGACCTTTTCTCCAAGGAAAATTGCGCTCGCCCCCGTGAGGGGCGCCGCTGGCTTTTCTCGGAAATACAAATTTGCGACTGAATCATCCTCGAGATTATCCTTCCTAAAGGCGGTACAAACTAAAAACGAGCGTATCACCTAGAAGAGATGATAAGATTTACATTTTCGATCGTCTGATGAAAGCTGCGGGCTCGCGAGAAAATGTGAATTAAGAATGGAGAGACCGAGAAAGAAAAGAAAAAAAAGAGAGAGCGGGAGCTTGACATAAGAAAATGAGATCGCTGTTTTGCATAATTTCTATAGGCATAATTTTTCTCATCACGCTTCCACGCTGCGCGCTGGAATCTACGTCAAATAAGAATTCTCCAATCTCACAGGCGGCGATTCAATCGACATTCGTTCAATATCTTCGACGGACGGCTGTTTCGATTGACGGCTCGTCGCCGCGTTTGATCGAGAGCTTCCGATCTCATTTAACTTTGACGTAGTTTTATCGAAGTATTTGACAATTTTTATTTTCATTTTCGACGATAACATCCACATGGCTCGTGAATTGGACCGACGTGGCGCCCGGTGATTGACTTTCGTGAGAATTTTGCGGATTCGAGAGCCACATTCGTAAAAATCGTTATTGAAGCTGTTGATTTTTAATATAGATAAAACGCACTGTGTACACTGCATATCAACGTACTGTGTACTGCATATTATATACAACGTACTATTTTTATCCGTATTTTTTCGGGGGAAGTAGTTATTACGAACAAGTTTAACGATCGAACGTATTTATAGCACGACAAGCACATTTACATTTTACATCCGATTCTTTTCACGTTGTACACGTAATTTCATGTTTAAAGTTAATATTCATAAGTTATTACCGTTACACTGTAACTGAATACGTCACGTTATTCAACCAGGATTACATCGAAATATGTCCTACTTGGATCTGATGTATATATTGTTCATTAAAGTTCTAAAGCTGTAACAACAACACGGACTCTTAGAGATACGTACAACTGGCACTGCATTACACTGGCAATCCCGTTAAACTTCCCAAAGCCTATTTGCTAAGAGGCTACGTATACAGAACGCTGGAGCGAAAAAGTTTTGAAATCTAAAAACATTTTTCGAGATATTTTTGTCTTAGCGATATTTTTATCAATTGTTATCTACGAGAGATCTCTCCGTTATTAATCCTCGCTATTTTTAATGCATCACTGTCGTATTTAGAAGCGAGAAACTTAATGGCTACATCCGTTGGTGAAAGTTTTACATCGAGTCACGCGTATATATTTAAACTAAGTACAACTTCACGAAGACGTGCATGTATTTTTTGTTAACTAACGTCAGAGCTATTTGCAGAGAAATATTGTACGTACGCAGATATACGTGTTACACAATCTATAAATAAATGCGCATCCGTGGTGCACATTATTATCACATAATCCGCGTGCCGATTGCTGCGAAATTAAGGGGATGCTGGAGTGATTCTGCACTTTTGCACCTTTCTAACCTAAAAACTGTCAGTTCGCGGAAACATTTGTGTAATATACAAATTAAATGGCTTACGTGTACAGATCGAAAGCAGCTCGCTATTCCGGCCAAATGAAAGAACAATATGGCATCCCCTTAAGCGGTTTCGGCAAAGAAGACGTTACGATAATGTGAGCGTGTAGCGATCACAATTTCGTATTCGTCAATTTCGCGAATTAATGCCAACGAATGAGCACGTCGGGACGATATCACAAAGTGTTTCAATGTACGATAAAATCTTATTTACGCTGTCGGTAAGCGCATTGTTTCGCACACAATACACGGGCGGAATATTAAGTAACGATATAGAACTATTTTCAACACGCGAACACGTTGCGCAAACTGACTCCGGGCGGAGTCTGCTCGGAAATAGAGTGACCGCGTTATTTGGGATTATAAATTGGGAATCAAATTGCGAATACCTTTTTAATATCCAGCCCGGAATATCCTTTAATACGCGTATTTTTCACAAGAAGCGTTTTATGAGTTTCCATATACGCGCGCATTTTTTTTTTCAGAATAATTTCGCTACCACGCGGAGAATCACGCTTACGCGATATTACGGGAATTCCCGTTTCGCGATGGTCTCGCATTTGGAGCGCGTAAAAACGAACCGTACGTATTCGATTGAAGTACGCCATTGCGTACCGCGAATGAATACCGATGTAAAGGCGATCGGACGTGCATATAGCACGTGGGAGGTATTGAGCAGCTTTGGCGTCCAATGCCGCAACGAATAGCGCGCGATTGGTAGAGGCAGATTAAAGCGGACGATAGCGTCGTCGAGATTCGCACGTTCATCAGCACGCCGGATGCTGAATTCGCGAAGATAACATCGCCGTTCGTACGAGTTTTTACTGTCTAACGATGCTTCTCTCGAGACCATTCTTGCTCCGTGAAATCGCTACGTACCTTTTTCCGCCCGGGTAGGAGACCGAGGCCAAAAAAATTCGCTGTTAAATAAGAAACCGAGTGACGAAACGTTTCCTTTGATCGGCGAATCAAAAATTATCAAAGCCAGACGACAAGGCTCGCGCGACAGCGATGATTCTATATGTGTACTCTGTACGCGTTTCCCCATTATATTTTTTGCTCAGCGCGGAATACGTTCGAGTCTCTTTGCTTTCATTTACACGAGTTATTAAATTACTAGTACGGCCAGAAAGGACCAAAGGCCCGAAAGATGAAAAGGAGGTATGGAAACAGAGACGGAAAAGGTTCGCGTAATCTTAAAAGAATAAAATTAATTTCAAAGCTTGACAGAGATGGCATAAAAAGGATGGCATAAAAGAGAAGGGGGAGTGAAAAAGCAACATATTAAAAGATAAATGAAGATGAAAAAAAATTAGTAGGGTGCTTGTGTGGTTAAAGAGAAAATAGTGTTTGTGGTAAAAGTGGAAAGAAACAGGCAAAAAAGTGGCGTTGTTTGTTATGCACCTGAATGGAATTTCTTTCGTGCTTGCTGTCATAAAAGATTACACGCACAAAGTATATCAAGTTATATAGAGTAATTTAGTTTGCGCGTGCACGTGTATAGCCGTGAAGACACTATGACACTAAGACGCGGTTGCGAACAGCCACTTGATATTGTTGTTTCAGAGAGAAGCCACGTGCGCTTTTAATAACTTTTTTAAAGGTTTTAATGCCTAGACTCCACGAGAATCCTCCAAGACGAAGATTTACTCCCGCGTAAGAAGTCTTAGGCTTTTATGCATGACTTGTGCCAATATTACATTATAAATCACATCATATTCTATGAAGGCAATGTGCGCGCGCGAGGAATATCTAATATCTCTTCTCACAAAGAAGGCCCGCTATAAACTCGTCTCCTCTATTATTTCCCGTGCTATAAAATCGATCTCGAAGATATGCCATAACGTCATCATGGAATATTGTGTCGTGTGCGATTAGTTAGAAATTAATTCTTTTTTTATCTTATTGCGCACGTACCGCGCAAATATGAATTCCCGACGCCAGGTAATATGAATTTCTTTTTCCAAATGCGAATATTTTACGCATCTCCGACGAAGGTGAAATCAATTTTTCCTTGGCAAGAATTTTTTTTAATAATGCATTGCTACATTTTATTCTGAAAAAGTTTCCGACGAATTATTAAGTTTGGAATATAAGGACATATGTCATCTCTTAGTTAATAAAAGATCGAGAATTTGCTAGCGGGGACTTTAAAATCGAGATTTTAAATGCGAGAATTATAAAATATCAAACGATGAATCTCCGGCGATTATAAATTCCTTAATGAATTCATTCACAAAATATTATGGAATCAGTCTAAAGTACTTTCTCGATACTAACGTTTTGCTAATGGAATTGTAAATGGTCATCTCTGGAAAACGAGTGTCTATCGACTTCGTTATGAAAACCGTGCTTAAAGAGGAACGACTA